GATCATTGTCAACACTTATAATACCTCTACTTTTGATTGCAAACTCCGCCTTTAAATGGGTTTATGTCGTTCAAATGGATTGTATATGTGATGACGTGGTCAGTAATGAAGGGAAGTAAATAAAGCCGTGAGAACCCTCAAGAGCGTGTTGTGTGCTGATCATTTGGGTCGTGTTGCGCCCGCCTCTACCTCTTCGATGAGCAGTTCCAACCTCCTTGCCGTACTTTGTCGCATCAAAGAAATTGCTGCAACGAAACGGCCTCGCCCTAACAGTCAGTTGCAAAACGCTTCAAGGTTTTTCAGGAGCCCTGTTGAGTTTCTTTCATTATTTGTCATGAATTCACTTTATCAGCATTTATTTTCGGGCGTAATAACCCTTTCTTATCTTTCTTATGCCTTTCCAGGTAGGCACCAACCATAAGCCCTGTAGCTGTCTTCTACATCGCCTCAAAAAGTTTCTCGTTTCAGAACGCTGTCGGTCTGCTGTCACTACCACTGCCAAACGAACTGCCACTGGACTATGCGCCAACCTGTTCAAGTACAGATTGTACGTTTTTGTCGTATCTATGTTTGTCTTTGGAAATACCCGTTTTCCACTAGCAAGTACCACACCTAATCTTAATCGTTTAGTATTCACAATTTAGTGGGTCCATACAGTTTCTGCATCACCTTGCCAATCATTCAGATTTGCAAACGAATGTTTTAAAGGGATTTTGGAGTGAAAGAACGATAGACTACATTTCTATACTTTTAAACACGTCTTCAATCCTCAAGATCTAATTGTCAATATGGTGAATTGGTTCCACCGTAATCCATGCTGCATGGAGCGCGTTGTTGAACATTCGGCCAAGATTCGTCCCTCAAACGGGACTAACGATAAGCTGGAGCATTACAACATCTATTTCCGCGACTACCCTAGGACAGCCCTCCAAGATTCTTGCATGTTAAAACCAATTCATTCGCTCCCTTTCTTGTATTTCTCGTGCAAGGGGGGGGGGTGGGGGGGGAACAGAGTTTTGAAGAAGATTTTGAGAAGAAGCAGAACAAGTGCCCATAGCTCCTCTTCACTAGAACCCTTTAACTTCTAAAGGTTTTCTTTCCAGATCCGCCGACTCTATCGCTCCCAGCGGATACAACCAGTGTCATAGAGACGTCTCCTCATTCGCTCGAGGCCTCGCTTTGCTCTCTTAGCGACTACCAGAAATCAAGGGGATTGGACATTACGCTGTGAGTGCGGACGCGCAAATCATCAGAAAAAAACAATAATAGGTTTTCTTTCAGAGAGACACTGGAAGAACTTCAAAAAGAGGTGCTTCGAGCTGAAACTGAATGCGCTCGAGCTCGAATACAAGCTGCTGTTGAAGAGAGACTGTACTGGGAAGAGAAGCGGGCTCGTCTGGCACTGCAGAGGCAAGCGCTACAGTCACAACATCCTCTGAAGCAGGACGACGATCTCGCTCTGGATCGCCTCTCAGCTGTCGCTGAAGAACGCCAGTTCTGGAAGGAAAAACGGCGAATTTTGGCACTGCGAAAGCAATGTGTTCTCGAACAGTTGGACTCGCTTTAGGAGATGACAATGTTTTATGCATATGTAACATTTATTGCTTATTTTTGATTATTCCACAGCAAAGAAGAAAATGTTTGAAATGAAGTCGAGTACGCGTGTAGTGATGAGCATTGTCAGAGGTTCATGCGTATGCTGGACACTCGTCGAATCGACGGCTTCCAAAGTCCGTCAGCCTTCGAGTGTTCCGCCTGCATCGAGCCAAACGGGTTGGATAACTCCAGACGTGAGAATCGATGCGCCTGTAGATGATTTCCTCCTCGCAGATCTCTGAAATTAAAGAAGTCACCTGCTATAGATATTCAAAGCAGGGTCAAACCGACCGCATCTTCTGACGAGGGATCAGGTACAAATTGTGAGGTTTGTTTGGGGAAGGTAGGGGATGGGGTCACGTTTTCGGATTTGAGCGGTGTAATGATACGAAGTATGGCGAACTTGGTAGAAAGGAAAGTAATGGAATTGAGGCAGCCCCCCTCCCCCCTCCCTCCCTGTCTCCACTATGCACTCTCCGCTCTACACTGTTGGGGTGGGAACGGTGGTGGAGATGGGACTGTGGTTGAGTTGGTCTCAAAAATCCAATATGGTAGAACACGATTTGATGGTGAGGGTGGTGGTCGGAGAAGGGTAAAGGGGAATCGTATAGGGAGAGCCTTCCAAGACTGTAGTGGTTGTGGGGGGTTGCATCGAGTTCCCCCCCCCCCCTTATAAGAGGGGTCGCAAAATTTTTGAAAAAGTGCGAACGTGACGATTGACCCTGTTCAAAAGTAAAACACAATTGGCCGGCCGCTTGGCTGGTATCAATTTTTGGGGCTCAAAAATAGCTCACTTAGAGACGAAGGTGTCGGCGAGATTGTCCAAACTCCTTGATTTCCCCTCCTTCAGAAAGAGTGTCTCCGAAAAGGCGATACTGTGGATGTGTTGGTGCGCGATCAGCAAACGATGACGGATCGCTTCGAAGGTTAATCGATTGAAGGGAATTCTGAAGGGAATCAATAGCGTCATATAAGCCGGTCACAATTATTAAAGCTTACTCGTATGGCACGAAAATCGTTGTTGTTGAGCTTTGTCTTGAGCTCTTCAACGACTCCTCGTGGCATTTTCTGATTGCCTTTCTGGGGCAGCTTCGAGGTGTCTTCCGGGAAAATCCTCGTTCTGGATCGAGCCACTGGATGCTCGAAATCGTCGGAGGCGGCACGCGCTTTCAAGTTTGACGTTGATCGTGGAAACGGAATCGGTCTAAATTAAAAGTGTTTAGAGGTGTAATTTCACTAAGAAACTGCTCCACGCTTGAGCGCCGCTGCTTCTGGGCTGTTCAGGGCTCACGCCTCTCTTCGTTGTGTGTCAGTGTATTGTTTTCAGGTCGCAAGATTGGAATTCAGCGGGATGGATATTTAAAGGAATCTTCCGCGGAAAAAGCTCCGCCTCCATTACCACAGAAAAACGATACCCCTTAGGCCCCTAGCCTCATGAGCATAGCAAAAAGAACGGAACATAAGCGTTAGTTTCGATAATACTAATCCTACACACAAGACAAAATGATCACTCTTTCCGTGGAAGATTCCTTTAAGGTATCGTTTTCTGTGGTAATGAGGGCGGAGCTTTTTCCGTGGAAGATTCCTTTGGTACATTTTCGAACATGAGTGAAAGGGTCTCTGATGAGGCTGTGGAGCGCTCGAATACGAAATCGAACGGGTTAGTTTCCCGCAGTTTAAAGGAGGATTCCACGATAAGAACGAAGGTCGAAGAAGGGGAAATTGCCTAGTTGGGAGAGGCGGACCTCCTGAGGGTGCTGACCGACGCGCAATTGGCAGCGAAAGATTTGACCTCGGCGATCTAGCATGGCTCACTCTTGGCGCAGTTGGCGGGGTACGCCCACCGACTATCTAATCACTCGCAGGTCTCGCGGCGAGTGATTAGATAGCAGAGAGAGCGTTAGTGTTGAAGAGGGCACAACGATGAGAGTCGCATCAATGCGGAAATCAACGGGCAAGGAAGGGGTCCCATTTCTCGGGTTCTGGGCCGTTTCTCATGGTTCTTCTTTCTTGTACCACTCACCATCTTACTTACCCTCCTTCAAAAAGCGAGAAAGTGTCGGGTGCAGACCATGCACCACAAGTGACGACTTCACAAAATGTTAATGTTTTCTGCCAATGAAATGATTAGCCTGTTGCAGTTGTATTCTATCGATTGTCACTAATTACAACTATCATTTACCAGAAATCAGCTATCACTATGAACAACTTCTAACCAGATTTACTTGGAGGCCGTCGTCAGTTGTGGTGTTTGGTCTGCACCCGACACTTTCTCGCTTTTTGAAGGGGAGGGGGTTAATTTGAAAAGGGTGCTTTTTCATCGTAAATTCTAACTTTGAACTTGCTACCTACAGCTCGCTTCGCACCTAATCACTACTAAGTGAGCGTTTCTTCAAAACGGGAAGGTCGCCCACACAAGTGTTCACCTTGGGTGGTGCGAGTCACATACATACCGTGCCCTTCGACTGTGTCTTCGAAAGAGAAGGGAACTTCAGTGCGTAGTAGTCGTGGTCTTCATGCTTAGGCAGGTGTCAGACTTTGCGATCAATCGCTAGCGAGTCGCGCGGTTGGTTAAAAGCGATTCAAGTCGTGGAATCGACACCGTCTCACTGGTTGATTTTACGATTCACAAATTTGCCACAGGTTCTACAGATGATTTTCTGTTTGGGAAATGGCTCCCGTTATCTGGGAACTAACGAGATTTCTCGGCTCATGCAAAGCTGACCGGATTTTTTCCAAGATTTGCCGAAGGGAATTGTCACAAATTATAAGTAATTATCACCTGGGCATTAGCAGTCCAGCAAGAAAAAGACGCTGCTCCAAATCCTTTATGGAACGTTGAACTTCCGGCCGCGCGATCAGTAACTGAATAATAACCATTTATTTCATCAGTAAATTTTTACGACCATCACACTGCAGATAGTCGTCGTTTTTGCACAAATCACTGGTGTGGTGCGGTGCCATGAAAGGATTGACATAA